ATGCAGTGTTGTGCAAAGACGACTTTGCGCCGAAAAAGAAAGGCATGACGAATAGCTTGAGTGCCTGCTTAAGCAAAAGCAAAACGAATGTGCGAGAAACATTGTAAGAACAAAATTTATCTGCAAAAGAACAATTCAAGTGTGAGCAAGCAGAAATGAGTGCAATGATCTGCCAAAGGCATACAAACAACAAGCACAACACAACGCTGGATATAAAAGTATGTGAAAAGCATCCCCCCCCCATTCCTTGCCATTATAATTCTTCAACATTTTCAATCATATGAGCGATTTACATATATACATATTTTGCACTGGAGTACAGAACTATCAGTGTATTCAAACAACGGTAGTTTGCTTGCGCATACATATTTACATTTGCACATGTGTGCACATCATTTTGGATGCAACTAACAATGTTCGGAGACTGTGAAAATTTCACAGGATATGCGTTTGAAGCGTTACAATGCGTTAAAATGCTTCACTGCAAAACGGAGATTTTTTATGACGCTTCTTTTGGTTTTAAGAATTTCTTTATTTTGCGCGAATACATATGTAAATATACATATGCATGTACATACATACATATGAGATGCTTGTGAAATGATTGCTGGCGGTTTATATCGAAAAAAGAAGCATACAAAATCTACATTTTACGAAACAAACTTATTTTGTTCCCTCTTCTTTGTAAAAATAAATTAAAAAATTTATTGTAAATGAAAAATTTTTACAAAAATATAAATTTCAAAATCAAACATTATCTTTAACAAATAACTTTGCCTACTAATGCGCGCATTATACGTGTAAACCCGACGCCATAAACATAAGCTACAACAATCGCTATCGATTTTCGATATTATTGTGGCACTCACTAAACAACATTTTGGCATGTGGAAAGTGCGTTTGATATTTTCGCGCGTTGAATACATTGAAAGTAGTAGATAAAAAATCTATTTCAAGCAAGTTTAGTGATTTTGTGATTAATTTATGATTTTAGGTACACAAATGTGTATAATTAGTGAACATAAATAAAAGGCAAAAGTAAAAACATAAGAGTAAAAAGTGCTCATATTACTGACGATTCAATTATACAAAATCAAAAATATATGTAAATGATTAAAAATATTCAACATACGTGTATGTATGTAATGTGCATACAATGGAAAATATACAACACATATAATATTAGTCTTTTCGCTCGTAAAATGTAAATTTCAAACTTAAACTACATCAGCACATACAGCAACAAATGACTAATCTGCTCCGCACTTACTTGCAGACATTTAATTTTCATTTTTCTTTTTTTTTCCTGCCCTGCCTGTCAACGCTCATTTTTCAAAGTTCTCTAGACAAAACAACAAGCAATCAAAAAGTTCTAATTACATTTTCTAATATTTTTACACTTTCACGCACGCCAGCTATACTATACTACACTGCATCGCCGCCGCGCAGACTAAAATAATTTTCACCTCATTAATTTGTAAAGGAAAAGTGAAAAATGAAAAAAAAAATAGATTAAATAAAAGAAAAACAAAAATATATTTTAGCCAAAATCATCTTCAACACACACACACAACCCATTCATCCATGCCTACTCACACTCACTATTTTTCTTGGCAGACATGGAAAAAAAAATTTGTTTCTAAAATGAAAAACATTTACAAAAATGTAAAAATAACAATTTCGTTGAAATTTGTTGATGATTAATCAAAATAAAGACCCATCAAGAAGTTGATAAACAACATTAAGCCATGCAGCGCATACAACAACAACAATATACACATGAGATGTAAAAACGGAAGCATACGTATAAGAAAAAAACTGTATAGAAAAACATGTAAAATACACCAAACTAGCAACAGCTACAAAAATAGCAAGATTTCAGTGTAGAGAGTGAAAAGCAAAAAGCAAAAAAAAAAAAACAATGAAGCAGCGCTATTTGAAATATAAGCTTGTATGTATGTATGTATGTATGTATGTATGTATGTACATATCGCAAGATGCTTTATTTGCAAACAAAAAGGATTTATTTCCTATGTTTTAAATAAAAAATTCAGCTATAAATGGCAACATATCCAAATTGGTTAACACTTCACGCCTGGTACTTGCAGTTATCGGCTTCCGATATCAACATTCAATCCATCAGGCTTTTGAGGAATATTGTTTCTCCTGACGATTTTAACTCTTCGCCCATTTTTTTTATACAAATATAGTGTACATGTGTGAGAAAGAGTTAATTAAGCTATTAAAATTAATACAAGTTATTATTACATATATGTATGTACATACATATATTGCTATGACGGTTGAGGTTATGTTTTTTTTTGGTTTATAATTAAGCTAATAATACATTTGAAAGTGATTAACAAGTGCATAACAAGATATAACAAGCCGCAAGGTCTATTTGCCAATAAAGATACAAAATAAATTTAAATCCATGTCTCCTTCCGCCGACAACTACCGACGAGGACCATCATATTTCCAAACAAACTTATAAAAAATTAAACTCTAAAAGAAAACAAATGAAAATTTACTGAAAAAAAAAAATATTTTAATACCCATTTAATGTGCTATCACGCTTTCAACCATAACAACAACAATGGAAACTATAAGCAAAAAAATACCGTTGCAATTTTTTTTTTTCACCATCACTTCACAACACTGGCGACAGCTGGCCCCATGACTGTCAATCTGTCAAGCAATTACTTGATTCATTCATTTGCACATACATACATACATTTTGCCAAAGCGACGATTGAATTAAAGCTAAGCGCTAAAGCTTAGTGCGCTTCATTTTAATTGCAAGCACATACGACCGGGAAAAAATTACGAATCAAATACACAAAAAAAAATAAAAAAAATGTAAAATAATTAAAAAGAAAACAAACTGGAAATCGTTAAATAGCAACAACTCATCAAATCATCAAAAGCAAACTGTTAGTGACTGGCACACTTCACATCCGAGCATACACACACACACACATACACATATACATGTGTACATATATGTATGTGAATGGACACACGATCGCAGTTGATTGTCAGCCGGAGCACATGATTTGGACATGAAGCGCTAAAGCTTGAAATGGTCACTGAAATCAATGCACTTAACGAACACAGTAGCTCTGTTGGCAGTTTTTGTCAAAATAATATTAATGCGCATGAATTGCTCATATTACAGATTTATTTGGACAATAATTGTGTGTGTACATTAATGTGGACCGACCACACATGCGGGTGGCTTAGGATGGAGTTTGAATTGAACGGAACTCAAATTTACTGAATGATTTCGGAGAATTCTTCTTAATGAAAGTGATACGAAAATGGTTTATTAAAAAAAAAAATTAAATAAAAAAATACAAAAAATAAAAAAAATAAAAAAAACAAAAAATAAAAAAAATAAAATAAAAAAATAATTTAATTAAAGAAAATAATAAATAAAAAATTAATGAAACATAAAACAAAATTATATGTATCGGGTGTACAACTTTGCTTCCGCCGTTTTTTCCAAAATTAAAAGCTTTATTGCGAAAAAGTGCATACAGATATATTATTCAAAGTATTGTCCTTCGCTAGCGACAACTTTCTCCCATCTTTCCGGCAATTTTCGGATCCCGGCTCGAAAAAAGGAGTCCTCTTTTGACGCTATCCATGAAGCAATCCATCTTTCCAATTCTTCGAAGGAATGAAAATGTTGATCTGCCAGGCCGTGTGTCATCGAACGGAATAGGTGGAAGTCAGAAGGGGCGATATCTGGGGAGTACGGCGGGTGGGGCAAGACTTCCCATTTCAGCTTTTCCAGGTACTTTTTGAGCACTTTTGCGACGTGAGGCCGAGCATTGTCGTGTTGGAGGATGACTTTGTCATGTCTTTTAGCGCGCGACTAAGGCGCATCAGTTGCGTTCGGTAGCGATCTCCTGTGATGGTTTCACCCGGTTTTAAGAAGTAAGTAAGGTTTTTTCTCTTCCACCACCATGTTTGTCTTCGACATCGATATCACCATTTTTAAAACGTTGAAACCACTCCCGAGACGTTCTTCCACTCAGAGCAGCATCACCGTAAGTTTCTGACAGCATTCGATGCGCTTCAGCTGCATTTTTTTCGGATTGTAACAGAAAAGTAAAACTTCCCGCAAATGGTGAGAATTAGGCACATAAAAGGACATTTTCGAGCGTGAATAATACGAAAACAAGAACAACTGTCACTGAGACGGCGATGACAATTCGTTAGGCACTGTCCACACTCACATTAAAGGCATTATCATCTATGTATTTCAACCAGCCTCAGCCGGTACAGCCACCTATCGGAAAACGGCGGAAGCAAAGTTGTACACCTGATATTTACATACATATATGTGCAGTGGGCAACCACTTTGAAGTGGAAAATCTATCAGGTTTCTGGTAAACAAAGAAGTGGCAACTAAAACAATCAACAAAAAATGACTTTTGCGGGCAAATACAGTGAATATCACATGGATGTAGAAGTCAATGAAAAGTCGGAGTAGCAAGCTAATGCTGGGGAGGCTGCTGTCATCATCAACTGCCTCAGAACCTTTAGGAAGTTGAAATGTTGTTTAAAACATTAGACCATTGAGGAACACTGAAGGATTTGGAACTTTTCTAACATTTCTAACGTACAAAGTTGTTTTTTGGGCAGCGTGAAGGGGCATCTACCTCTGACGTATAATCTCAATTAGTTAGGTAAAGTGAAAGCGGCCGTGTGCTGGTGCACTACCATTGCAAGTGTCGGACCTTTCAGCTGAGACGTCGCATCTTCCACGATGCTCTCAGAATGGCGTTTCACAGAGGTGCACACGCAGGGTTGAAAGCAGTTTATACTAATAATGAACGAACTTTCTACGGTCGCTTGCGATCAGGATCTCAGCCTCCCTCTTTGAATCAACCAACCAACAATGTATGAAATGAATCGAAAATGAAAAAAAAAATAAAAATAAACTAGTGTAGAAAAACCAAAATGCGCTGCAAAAAAATATTTAAACGCGCTTTTTATTTTACAAAATTTCAAAATTGCCTTTATTAGTTAGTTGTACATGAATAAACAATTCTACTGCTCATTCAAATTCGTTAAGCCAGGAAATAATATCGTACGCCTGATGACCACTGTTGTATTCATAGAACACACCGTTGCGGAAGAATTTCAACGTCGGGTATTGACGCAAACGGAACTGTTCATCCAAATACGGCTCAGCTGTTGCATCGACCTTAGCCAATTTCACAGGCGATTGTCGGCTTGCCAATAGCTGTGCAGCTTTAGCAAACTCAGGTGCAAGCGCTTGTGAAGCACCACACCAGGGTGCGTAGAAATTCACCAAAACAAATTCATTGTCATCTAAGACGCGCTTGAAATTATTTGTAGTCAACACTAAAACACCATCTTCGGTGTGCACTTGTTGTGCGTTGGCGGGGAAAGTATTACTGGCGACAATCAACAGTAGCAGCAAGCAAAGGGATCGCGTCATTATTTGTTGTATATTAAAATATAATTTAAACTACTCGCAATCACGGCCGATATTTAACAGCGACTAAAACGTTGAACAGTTAAATTTATAACTCGTACAAAAAGCAGCACGCGTAGGCCATTTTAAAGGTCGATAATGCAGTGTAGGCTATTTGGACTTACATCGCGACAGAATTTTAAAAAAGAAAAAAAAAATAAATAAAAATTATATATTTTTAAACTCAGCAAGAAACTAAATGGCTGCTTGCGATAATTAAATCTTCTTCCTTTTCTTTTTTTTTTTTTGCGCCCAACAAAAGGCAATGAACTCTGAAAAATAGTAAACACAGCGTTTATTTTGTTGGTAAAAAAATATGCGAAATACGCACAAAACGACGGAAAAGCAAGAAGTGATGAATAAACACATATTAAAGCGTAAATAATTTTCGCACAAAAGCAAATTAATATTTTTTTCGAACAATTCAGTTTTTTTTTGCCTTTTTTTGCTCGAATAATTGCGCACACAACGTAAAAATTGATTTATTTTGCTGTGCGCGTTTTTGTAATCACCTATACATATGTATATACATACATACATACATCGAAACAGAAACCCATTTTCAGCGCAATCAATTATGCGTATGTTAGCTTGCGGTAATTACTGATTAAGCATTAATTATGACGACAAATTACATACATACAACAATAATAACACTATCGAAGGTGAAAATACAACATCGACAAGCATACACATATACGCATGTATGTTTGTATGCATGCAAACAGGCAGACAGACAAGCCGACAGACAGTAGAAATTTGTTGACATTATTAGCCACCGACTGCCGGACGAACTGGACACGGGATTGTCACTTCAGCAAATTGCTACTGGTATAGCAGAAAAACAAAAACACGATAAAATATTGTTGTTTTTATATAGATACAAAAAAAAAACAGTCACGAGTGCTGAAAAGGTAAGGTGAGCGGTGGTATGTTTCGCGAAAAAAGCTTGGCAAGTGTCGCCGCAACGGAAGACAGAGCACATGACGACAACGTCTCAATGCAAACGCAAAAACAAAAAAAAAAAACAAAAACAATAGTAAGAAAATCACTTATTAAAATTTGCAAAACGTAGGAAATGAATAAACGTTTAGAAAATATATAATTACATGGCTCATAGTACTCGAGTGTGCCGAGTGATGACGTTTGATTGTTTGTTTCTCGGTTTTTATTTATGGGCGGATGCTTGAAGAACTTGCAGAAGAACGTGTAGTTGTGATAAAAAAATAAAAGCACAATAGAAATAAACAAAATTAATTAAAAACTTAAACAAATGTGTAAATATCAAGGTATGCAAACCCATATGAGAAATTAGCACATTTTCTAAGCACGCTGCAGTTGCGATGTGAAGCAACTTGTTTATCGTTTATCGATATACGTGTACATATGCATTTGGTAAAAGGCATGAGTGGTAAACATTGCCGTTTGAGAGTTGAAATTAGGAGTTACACGTATTAAATTAATTAAAAAACCAAACAACATTTAATTAAACAGGTAGTCGAACTGTATATAACTATATACATATTTAACAGCTGGTTTTTTAACTTGAATACTATTTTATTTGTCGCCGAACACAACAGTTGTACGCTCAAAAATGTGTGTTTTCTAAAAGAAACAACATGCATACATACATATGTGAAATATTTAAAGTATGTTGCTGTACATGTTTTTCGCTGTTTTTAAATTTTTACACAATTTTTTTTTTTTTTTTTTTTTGCAAACTTACAATTTTTATACACACATATGTATATTATATACAAATATTTAACGTAAAACGTTTGACGGTTAAATTCATAGACAGCGCCAGTGGCAATTATTGCTTTCAAAAAAATAAAATATATTTATGTATGTATATATGTAAATATATTCAAGTTGGCGTAGAAATTTATATGAACAAACTTTTATCAAAACAATATTTTTCCCTATTTACGATTATTATTATTAAGGGTTTTTTTGCTTTTGTTTTACGATAAGATTATTCTATGTTTACATGCATAATATTCAGACTAATAAATAAAAAAAGGCACGCAAAATAATCCAGGAAACCCTGTACACAACATAAACTATTTATTACTCAATAAACTAGCGCCTTACACGGAATTATTCTAACCAAAATCGACTTCGAGTTCTACGGCCGTCGTCTGTTTTAGCTTTTATGGCGTTTGAACTGTATAAAATTGGACTCGAACTACAAATAAACATATACATATATATATATGTCAGTTTGTAGATAAGCACGTGTGCCAGATTATAAGAAAATCGCAAATATTGAAAAAAATGCACACCCGGCCGAAAAGCGAATAGCAGTTTAACTTAAAAGAAAATCTTTACAATGACGAATGCCTTCAACTTCATTTCCCAGTCTTAGAAATTCTTCAAATCAACTTATATGCACAGCTAATTTATGTTGGAGTTCATTGGTCACAACTATTATGCAATTTTATGCAGGAAAAGTTTACAATTCACACACCAAAAGTGATTAAAACGCTTGAAGTTGCCATTTAAGTACTTTCATTACTTATATTTAAACAATATTTAAATACACTAAACGGATTTTGATAAAAATTTAATGAGTTCTTGCCATGTAAAAAAATATATTATGCTCACACTGATGGAATGGTAATGAAAATGATATCGATTATTTGTTTGATAAAGAAGTTCATTAGGTGGTGCATAAACGTTGGTTAAAACTTTTAAAGGTTTTACCTACAAATAAAATTTAATTTATATAAATGCTTCTACCCAATAATGTCATATTTATTGTACAAATATTTTATGTTATAAATTTTAATTAAATTAAAAATTAAATGAAAACTTATAAATCATTTCTATTTGGTAACAAGAAGAAAAAATTAAAAATGCAAAATTAAAAAAAAACAGCTGTAATAGCAAAATACACATAAAATTGTGAACCTTTTATACACATCATTTTATATTAGAAAATAGTCATAAATTAAAAACAGCATAACATAAATGTCTATGATGACAATTCAGTATACTGCTCTTCTGCTCCTTTGATATTTTTCCTTATACAAAAGAGACTGCAGTAAATTGTGAACAATATAAAATCACAAGAATCACTTTTGTAGGTGTATACAACTGTCAGATTTTTACGCAATTGTGAATTCCTGTGGCGAACAAATGATGTTTCGATGCGGGCAGATGAGTATAATTAAAACGAGTAGAAGAGAATATGTCGGTATATGTGGCCACCTGTGGCGCATTTTTATGACACAATTGGAAACACCTTTGATTTTTCTGCTTTATTTTTTCAGTAATGAATGTAGAATGAGAAAGTCGGTGTGTTTGTGAAACAGCAAGTAGTTGGTAATGCACTATTTTGTTTTGTTTTATTTTAAGAAAATAAATATAGCTTATACAATTTAGTTACTACTTTAATTACAACAGCAGGTAACAAAAAAAAAATTAATAAATAAAATATTAATAAAGAAACTAGTTGGCGTTGTAAGAGAAGAAACGATTTAATATATATGATTGCGCTTTTTTGCCATCTGTTTTCTAATTTATTTTATTTCTTTAAATCGATTGGAAAAATACTGAACGCAAATTGTTTCCCCCCTTTAGAGATTAATTTTTATTATGTTACTTACATACGTATATATCGTTAGTTTTCTTTTATCATAATAAATTCATTAATATTATTTCCCATTCTTACCCACATATTCAACTATAGTAAATATTCTTGCAATTTATTTCCACATTTGCGACTTACCTAAAATGAAATAAGAAAAATGATTTTATATTAATATATGCATATTTATTATTTTTTTAATATTGAATAAATATATATGATTTATCAATTAATTTCAAAAATAATCCTGTTTTGTTTAATTTACTTAATTTACAACTCAAATATTTCAATATACATACACAACACATTGCACGTGTGCACCGATGCTAATGCCACTAGCCATACAGCAGCACATCAGTTAGTTATCGATTATCGATATTATGCACTAACCTAAGCATGTGCTGAGTCAATTTAGTCATTTATATTTTCGTGAATTGAACTCTATAAATTTACAAATTCAGGCAGATATTCAAGAATACATAATTTTCAATGGCGATTTGCGGAAATAAATAATAAATACTTATCAATATCAAATGCGGTGAAGCACAGAGAGCCATTATGCAGTACTGGAAGGTCAGAGGAGGAATTGAAATAAGTGCAAACAAGACGGCTTTTTTGTTACTCAATTTTTTTAGTTATGCTACTCCTGAAGGGAATATACAATATATAAATATATATATAACGAAAAATAGAAAATAATTATATTTGAGTAAATATGGATATGTGTAAAAAGTATAAAAATAATATATTTGAAGTACCTAACTAGAGAGACAAAACCAACAACAAGATGCTGAAGAAAAATTGTAGAAAAATTTCCAATAATCGGAAAATTCCAACAATTCAATCTCTCCAGCTGGATCCTGACATGACAACTCAAAAGTAAAATATTACAAATTACAAATTCCCATTGTACGAGTACACAAAGTTGTATGTGCATAGGTATAATGCCGCGCACAATAACTACATAACAACATTACGTTTAAATAATAAATACAAACAGAATGCTAAGCAAGAGAACATTTCACTCGCTACGCAGAACAGGATGTGTTCGTTATAACAAAACACGCATTTCAATTTATCAAAATCGTACGATCTCAATGGCGAGCCGTGTTGGCGAGCGATCGGACGAGACTGATCGAGGCAGTAAAGTACAAACATACATAAGTAAAGTGTACAAACGAGCTTGTGTAACATGAGTAACATACAAATAAGTACAAGAAATGGCACTTTGTAAAGCGAAATATTGTGCATAGTGTGATGGTAAATGTTGGGAAAGGACGAGATTTTTTTTTTGTTTTTTTTTTCATACATATGTACAACTACACATGCCGATATCAATAACGGGAGAAAAACTAAAAAAAAAGAAATATTTGTTATGTATAATAAATAGTGAGTTTGATTTTAGTGATATTATGCGGTGTCAAATGACATTTTTCTATAAAAAAAAAAATTAACAATGGAAATTTTTGTATA